AGTGATAAAAAAATAAATTATCACACCAACAGTCAACAACAGAGGGAGAGGGAAGCTTCAGAAGTTCTCCCTGTCCCATTTGGAGGGTTTTTTAGCGTATTGCGCAATCGCGTCCGCCATTAACGAATCGATTCGTTATTGTTTCGAAATTGTTTCGTAATTTCCGAAATTTCATAAATATTGAACTTTTTTAAAGAAAAATTTCGGAATTCTTTTAAATAACGAAACGCAAAAACCGCCTAAAAACGAATCGAGTTTAGAAACAAATTTTTCCGTGGTTGGACAGCCCTACAAGCAAACATTGTCCTTCTCTTTTTAAAAAAGGCAAAAAGAAGAAGATTCAGAAAACTACAGTCCAGTGAGCCTGATCTCCAAACCACTAAAATGTTAGACAAGATCATACAGGAGCTTGTCTGCAAATATTTTGGTGACAGTGCAGTGATCAGTAATAATAACCAGGATGGATTTGACAAGAAAAAAATCCTCCCCAACTAATCTTATATCTACTTTTAAATCAGGTCAATACTTTAGTAGATAGTGGGCATGCTGTGGATGTTATTTATCTGGTTATCAGCAAAGCATTTGGTTAGGCCCGCCATAATATTTTAATTAGCAAACAGTTTAAATATAAAAGGTAAAGGCTTCCCCTTGACATTAAGTCTAGTCGTGTCCAACTCTGGGGGTGGTGCTCATCTCCATTTCTAAGCTGAAGAACCGGCATTGTTCATAGACACCTCCAGGATCATGTGGCCGGCATGACTGCATGGAGCACCATTACCTTCCCACAGAAGTAGTACCTATTAATCTAAACACATTTGCATGTTTTTGAACAACTAGGCTGGCAGAAGCCGGGGCTAACAGTGGGAGCTCACCCCGCTCCCTGGATTCAAACAACTGACATTTTGCTCAGCAAGTTCAGCAGGTCAGCAGTTTAAACTGATGCACCACCAGGGGCTCCCAGTTTAAATATGGAACAGTTTAAACGTGGAACACCATCAAATAGATGCATAATTGGTTGGAAAGCCAAGCTTAAAATCACTATCAATGGCTGCACTTTAAACTAGGAAGAAGTCGTGACTGGAGTGCCTCAGGATTCTGTCCTACTAGCATTATGCTCTAATTTTTTATCAGTGACTTAGATGATAGGATCAAATCTGAGAGAGGTAGTCAACATGTTGGAAATAGGTAGAGAACTAAAAACAATCTTGATAAAGTAGAAAACTGGACAGAAATTAGTAAAATGTAACAGAATAGAGAAAAATGCGAAACTTGAGATATAGACCCAAAAAACCCAAATGTAGGACAGGAATGTAGTACTACATGCAAATAAAAGATCATGGGATTATTGTTGATTATAAATTGAATATGAGCCAGCAGTGGATGCTGCAATATAGTTTCCAAGTTGAGAAAATTAACAATTCGACTATATTCTGTGGGGTCAGATCTAATCTGCAGTACTGCATTCAGTTTTGGGCATCTCATTTTAGACAAGCTGGAGCAGGTTCAGAGAAAGGCAACAAGAATAACAAGTTATGGAGAACAAAACATATGAAGAAAGATTGGAAAAGTTGGACATGTTCAACTTGGTGAAAAGAAGGCTGAGGGGTGACAGGATTGCAGACTTTAAATACCTCAAGGACTCTTATGGAGAAGAGGAAGGACCCGTTCTCTGCTGCCACAGAAAGTAGAAGATCTAATGGTTTGAAGTTACGGGAGCATAGGTTTTGATTGAACATTAGAAGGGACATTTTGACAGTAGGAGTGGTTCACCAATGGAGTCAGTGAGACTGCAGTTTCCTTATCTGTGTGTCTTCAAAAAATAGGTAGAAGAGCTACTTGTAGAAGATGTTTTGGCATGAGTTACCTCACTGGACAGGGTATGGGACTCCATAGTCATGAGGCTCCTGAATATTCTATGACTCTATGATATGATTATATTATTCTTCCTGTTTGACTATCACCCTCCTCCCAGTAGACGTAAATCAAGGGAAAGTTTCATGAGAACCACTACTCCAACACTCAGTGAGGGTCTTCCTCCAGGAGCAAACCAAGAATGGGCAACTTGGAAGTCCCTGAACAGACTCAGAAGTGGAGTTGGCAGATCAAAAGACAACCTGGTAAAATGGCACTACCAAGAAGAATCCTCCACCTTGTGCAATTGTGGAGTAGAACAAACAACTCAGCATCTGTATGCTTGCTCACAGTGTCCTGCCTCATGCACAGAGGAAGAAGTATTTAGAGTTGCAGATGATACAGTTGTGTTGCCCTTTTTTTGATCTAAAATTATTTAGCTGCTTGTGCTCCCTTTATTTTATCAGTTTTATACTTATTTATTCATGGAATGCTTTTGACACAAAATAAATAAATTATTCTTCCTTCTGAAATCATCAGTCCCGACCAATCAGGATCAAGTCATATGTATTGACTTCATCACAGTACTTAGTCAGACGCAGATAGCACAGAGAACAAGCAAGTTCTTCCTGAAAAGGTAACTTCCCTCCTTTCTTTTGCAACAATCCATGAAAGATAATTAAACAGCTGTGGCTGGTGGTAGCTTCCACATAAGTGGAACAATGAAACTTTAAAGTTTCTGAGACTTATTCTCAGAAGCATTTCAGCATGCTGGATAGTTCCTTTAACAATCTGAGCAAATCCCAGATTAGATTCACCAGTTCAATGACTTAGAAACATGTTTGCACATCACCACCATCACTGCATTTCTATACTCTGTACCAGGCATGGGCAGACTTCAGACTTCCAGGTGTTTTGAGCTTCAACTCTCACAATTCCTGGTTGGGATTTCTGGCAGTAGACGTCCAAAACACCTGGAGGAGCAGAGTTTGAGAAACACTGCTCTAATGGCTCAGAAAGTTGTGCTAACAGACTCCCATTGGACTGCTTGGGCATTGGTCTGTGAGATCCCTCAGTACTTTGTTTTATCCCCCATACTATTCAATATATATGTGAAATTCCAGGAGGGGGCTGTTTAAAGGTTTGTGGTTCACTGCCACTGGTATTCTAATGGCACCCAACTCTGTTTCTCCTTTTCATCAATCCTAAGGAAGCTGTTTTGGTTCTAAGCCAGTGCCTGCCCCTTCACTCACCCACCTGCCCATTCACCTGCCTTCCTCAACTATTTGCTCCCATCCACTTGCCCCCCACCCCTGCCACACCATATCCACCCCACCCCCAGCTTGGTCTCTAGAAGGTTTGTCATCACTGGCCTAGAAAGTCAGGCTTTGGTGGCGAAGAGGCGTATGTATGCACAGTTAAAGTTAGCACACTAACTGTGCTCATTCTTGGAGAAGTCTGATCTTGGCACAGTAATGCATGCCTTGGTTATCTCTCATTTGGATTACTATAACACACTCTACATGGGGCTGCCTTTGAAAAGTACAAGTAGTAACAACCCCATACAACCTTGTTCTGACAGCTTCATTGGTTGATATCTGTCAGGGGTGCTTTCACTACATAGCCCATGTGGTCTCTTCCAACTCTATGATTCTATGGATTCTATATTCTGTTTCTGTGTACAAGCCAAAGTACAGTAGGCCCACATTTTATGGGAGGGACCCATTCCAGGGTCTTTTACATAATACAGTTTTGGCATAATGTGGAACCCTATTTTTAAAACCTGAAATTAACTATGTCTTGGACTTATGGTTGAAGCATGTAATAGAATAATTTTGGAGGCGAATATCTAGTGAGATGTTCTCGCTAGGCCAGTGGTTCTCAACCTTTCTAATGCCATGACCCTTTAATACAGTTCTTCATGTTGTGGTAACTCCCAACCATAAAATTATTTTCATTGCTACTTTATAACTATAATTTTGACTGTTATTAATTGTAATATAAATATCTGATATGCAGGATGTATTTTCATTCGCTGGACCAAATTTGGCATAAATAACTGATATGCCCAGATTTGAAGACTGGTGGGGTTAGAGGTGGGGGGGCTTTGATTGTGTCATTTGGGAGTTGTAGTTGCTGGGATTTATAGTTCACCTACAATTAAAGAGCATTCTGAACTCCACCAATGATGGAATTGAACCAAATTTGGCACACAGAACTCCCATGACCAATAGAAAAATGCTAGAAAAGTTTGGTGGACATTGACCTTGAGTTTTGGCACTGTATTTCACCTACCTTCAGAGAGCACTGTGGACTCAAACAATGATGGATTTGGACCAAACTTGGCACGGATACTCAATATGCCCAAATGTGAACACCGGTGAAGTGTGGGGGAAAATAGACCTTAACATTTGGGAGTTGTAGTTGCTGGGATTTATAGTTAACCTACAATCAGAGCCCTTTGAACCCCACCAACAACAGAATTTGGCCAAACTTCCCACACAGAACTCCCATGACCAACAGAAAATACTGTGTTTTCTGATGGCCTTTGGCAAGCCCTCTAACACCCCTTCATGACCCCCCCCCCCCCCGGGGTCCTGACCCCCAAGTTGAGAAACACTGCTTTAGGCTCCCAGCATGATTATGTGGTCAACTTCCAGGACAGCCAATGAGTATCAGGTGCTGTAACCTGCATTTCACAGGAAAGAACAGAGAAAGCTACCTTGGAGTATTCTTTGTCTAAGAAAACCCTATGAAATTCATGCAGTTACCATAAGTTGACAGGTGACTTGAAGGTTCATACAAATACACACAGAGGAGAAACATATCCCTCTGCACCGCCACCACCACCACCACCCCCTCCACCCCCTGTCAAAAATGCATTCTTGACTGTATTCAAAATAATGACATGGGATCTGTTCTCATCTGCTTCTGGGAACAATAGCCGAGAAACACCAATCTAAGTAAACAGTGGCCTTCCTTAAAAGCAAACTGATGGAATGTGAGAAGTTAACAGTTCGACTGAGTGTTTAAGCACATACACATACTTATTGTATATATTCTCATTATTATAAAAGCTGCAATAGAGTAGGAGGAAGGAAAGTTTCCCATCTTGGTGGTAGATGACTTACAATTCAGGGGAGAAGGGGAGAGGAAGAATACTGTTTTGTTAGTGTGATTGACTGACTTTGACCAACTATGTTGAGCTGTAATTACGGGAAACAATCAAATCTCTATGTGGAGTTGGTGGCAAACTTGTCTGACCACTTCTTTGTATTTTAGTAGGACTGGTTTGACAGCTTCGGCTCCGATGAGCCACCTTTCTGCTGCTGGGTTAAAGAAATGCAAACTGGTACAGCAAGTTTGACAGAAATGCAAAAAAAATGGCTTATTGTCTGTGCAAATTTACCCACACTGCTCTTTCCTATCTCTGCTGCGTTCACTTGCTTTTTGTTTCTGCAACATGACTTGATACAGCGAGAAAAGTTGCAGGAACTGAGGAAGGGGGTAGGAAAGAAAGAGAGGGACACCAAGGAGAAGACACATAGATCTGATGTGAGTATTGAGATGCTTTTTCTTTTTATCTGTTGGCTTTTGTAACAGCTTAGCATATCGTTTGGGAGAATAGGAATGATTTGGGAATTGTGTCTGTATAATGAAATCACAATCGGGAAAGGAGGGTTTGTGGCCATTCGGTCTTCAAAATTAAAAGTTTGTTTCATTATCAGAAGCTGCTTGGAGATTTAATGGGTCTAGAGCAAATCAAGCGCAGAGCACCCACATGAACTCTATTGCCTATTCTTCTTTATGAGTTGATCATTTGTTGTCGTGCTGACCTCTGTTGAAAACCAGGCATTAGCCCAGGTGGACTTTGCTCTCACTCTGCAATGCAATTCGTCTGCTCTTATCTTTTATGTATGTTTGGAAAGCTAAACATTTCCTGCTTCTGCCACTACAACCACGAAATTACTTCAGACAGTTGCATTTGAAAACCACCTGGCCCTGTGCAGACAAAAGAGTTGCCAGAGTGTTTCCATACTGCTGGGAAATAAATGCGTGAGATGCCAAAGGTTGTATGCTAGAAGGTGGTGTCAGAGCTTGGAAAATATAGGGGGTTTTTTTTCATTACTTTACCCAGAATCAGCGCTGGAATGCCCAGTGGTGGAATGGGTTAAACCCTTGTGCCAGCAGGACTGCTGACTGACAGGTCAGGGGTTCGAATCTGGGAAGAGTGGGTTGAGGTCCCTCTGTCATCTGCAGCTCCCCATGCAGGGACATGAGAGAAGCCTCCCACAAGAATGATAAAACATTAAACATCCCGGCATCCCCTGGGCAATGTCCTTGCAGATGGCCAATTTTTTCACACCAGAAGCGACTTGCATTTTCTCAAATCACTCCTGACACAAACATACACACAAACAAACACTGACTATGTGGACTCAAGAGTGGTCATTCAAAAATATAATTACTCTACACTACCCTCTATTTTAAAAAAATCCCATAAATACACAGTCTATTTTGGTTGATGGTGCAAAATAGGAACATGGGAAGAGATCTGCAGAGGAGGAGACCAAAACACTTATGTACTCTTTTGTTCTCTTTCCCTGAAGTATAGAAGTAATTGTCTCCTCCCCATTATTGCCTCGCTTTCTGAGCTAGCCGGCCATAATAATGACCCAAAATAGTAAAAGCAATCTTTCCCACCCCATAAATGAGCATATGATAATTAACATAAACAATCTGTTCCAACCTAAATCCACCTTGATTTGTTTTATTCCATTTTTACTTTGTTTATGTATATTTATGTATATTACCAAAAAAACCTTAGTGCAATTTGGGCAATTCACAAAATAAATATAACATCAATAATTTTAAAACATTTAAAATAAATAAAACAATTATTAAACCTTTTAAGACCAAGGCTATAAAAAGCAATCATTTTGAAGACCCTGAATGAATCATTGAATCATTGAGTTGGAATAGGCCTCATTGGCCATCCAGTCCAACCTCCTGCCAAGAAGCAGGAAAATCGAAATCAAAGCATCCCCAACAGACGGCCACCCAGCCTCTGTTTAAAAGCCTCCAAAGAAGGAACTTCCATCACACACCAGGTTTTTTTTTAAGGTGCCAAAAGGCATAAAGTTGGTGCTGGTCAAATCCATGTTAACCTAACTGGGAAACACAAAAAGCAAAGCATAAAGGCTGGAATGGTGCCAATGATATACATCGATGTAGATGCCGTTATGCAAGCCGTTGCATTTTCTAGGCAGTCACACCAGGGTGGGATCTCCATCAGGACTGCACAAGCAACTCACAAATTGTGCAACAAGTGAGAGTGAGGCATTGTTGCCCCGTTACATGCAATGTGGTGTGATCCATTACAATTTCAGCATAGCTATGGCAACATAGTTTTTTGCCTTGTGACTGTTAAATAGGATCAAAATCAAAGGCAACCTTCTCTTTGTATTTGACTCTTGCAAATAGTATTCAGAGGTTCACTGCTGCAAGACATGGAGTTTCTGTTTAGCTAGCTCTTGCAGTCCTGATGTCCAAATGAATTCCCTTTATTTTGAAGGAAGTGGCATTCCAGAATTAAACATAAAACAGCATGCATCAGATGAAGCTCATGGCTATGGAAATGTTATGGTTTATTAAATTTACTTGGCTAACCCAAAGTAGGAGAAATTATTATTTTTTGGGTTGTAGATCCCATAAACCTTCACCATTCTAGGAGCGTTTTGGGATGGAGGATTATGAGCAGTGTAGTTCCCAAGAGGAATAAAAATCCTGTTATGATTGATGCAACCCCTTCTCTTCCCACCACCCCTTCCCCATTTTCTTGGTGTCTTGGTTTCTAGGTGTGTTCCTGGGCTTATATAGGACACTGATTTAGAAAATAGCATTGGATAGATCGCAGCAGCTCTTGTTTCTTACATATGGTTATCATTACTTTCTGTAGGTGAGCAGATGAATATTGGTACATATATGGAGCATGTTCTGTATCACAAAAACTAGAACTGATATGGGGAACTGAACTGGTGCCATTTTTGGAATCAGCAGGTCAAAACTTTAGAGACACCAAAATGTGTGTTGGCCAGTGTAATGGATGACCGAGCGAGACTGACAACGTCACCTCTTTGGCTTTTCACCAAAGCCTCGTTGTTCTAGATTGTCTATTAACCTGGTGTGAGTTGGAGGGAGGGGATGAGAGAAGGAGGAAAAGGAGTTTTTGTTCAAATGCTAATGCTTACTCTGGATTTAAGACAGGCCATTCAACTTTTTTTCCCAGCCTGTTTGCTTGGATATTTTTAAGGTAAAAGATGGCCTGATGCTATAGGCAGTGCCGAGCAATAGCAAATACTCTGGGTGGGGACCCATGAAATGAGGTTCATCTAGTCTCTGCTCTACCTGCTTGGTGACTTGGTGGAAACTGGCTTTATCAACTACCTCCGTGACGCAGTCCATGTGCAGCTAGCCAGAGATGGGTGGCAGCTAACCAGCAGGTCAGGTTGCATGCACAGAGACTAATTTGCACCTCCTTTCCATAAAGAGAATGGATATCAACAACACACTGGTGGTGGCAGGCACTGCTGTTACTATGCTATGCTGATCAAGTGGTTGGATATGTTGTATTTTGGGAACATAATTCCCAGAGTCCATACCCAGCATAGAGGATATAATCCAAAATAGTATCTTCTTTTGGTTCCATGTTTCCATAATTGGACGATGGAAGTTGTCCTTATTTATCATCAAGTTAATTTTGACTTATAGTGACCCTATGAATGAGACGCCTCCATGAGCCTTGGTCCTCAATTGCCCTGTTCAGGTCTTGCAAATGGTCCCTTGACTGAATCAATCCACCAGTAGTGTGGTTCCCCCTCTTTTTCTACCGCTTTCCCAAGTCTGAACATCTTTTCCAATCAATCAAATTGTCTCATGATGTGCCAAAGTATGACAGCCTCGGTTTCATCACCTTCACTCTCGGGGCAACCTCAACCTCATTTGCTCTGGGATCCATTTGTTGGTCTTCCAAGCAGTCAATGGTATCTGCAAAACCTTCTGACAATACAACACCACAGTTCAAGTAAGTTTACCTTCTTCCCTGTTAACTTTCCTCTCTATCCAGCTTCCACAATCATGCATAGAAATCAGAAACACTATGGCCTGTATTAATCTAACTTCAAGATTTAATGATGCATATTGACACATTAGTATCTTCTCTAGTTTCTTCATGATGGCCTTTCTAAGTCTCAGTCTTTTGACTTCCTGAGTACAGTCTCCATTTACTGTGAAGCAGTTAAAGGATTTTCCATGTTGAAACTCATACTGATAATGACTATCAATTATAAAGTTCCAATGCTACATAAAAAGGTAACAGTTTCCCCTTGACATTAAGTCTAGTCGAGTACGAATCTGGGAGGTAGTGCTCATCTCCATTTCTAAGACAAAGAGCCGGAATTGTCCATAGATGCCTCCAAGGTCATGTGGCTGGCATAACAGCGCTGTTACCTTCCTGCTGGAGCAGTACCTATTGATCTATTCACATTGGCATGTTTTCGAACTGCTAGATTGGCAGAAGCTGGGGCTAAAAGCAGGAGCTCATCCCACTCCCCAGATTTGAACCACTGACCTACAAGTTCAGCAGCTCAGCAGTTTAACCCACTGCACCAATGGGGGCTACCCAATTCTATATCGTGCAAAGTAATTTACACTGAGATTCTTTAAATTTATAAAGCCGCAAATAGGTTGGTAGGTGTTGTATGCAGTTCTCACATGAGTGAGTTGATAAAACCACTCTGAATTTGAGTATGGACTTTAAAGGTGCTGAATCTACCTTGGAGATAGATTTCAGCACTTATGATAGCTTCTTTAAGACTGACAAATGGTGTTCAGCTCAAATCTCCTATCTTGTGAATTCATGAATTCATAACAACAACAACAACAACAACAACAATTTTAATTTTTTTTTACCCTGCCTCCATCTCCCCAAAGGGGCTTACATGGTGACATGCTCAATCAACATGGTTTAAAAATAGCACATTAGGCCTGTTTGATCAAGAAAAAATTTGTTTCTAAAATCGATTTGTAATTGGGGTGTTTTTTTGTTTCGATATTTAAAATAATTACAAAACTTTCCCCCAAAAAAGTTTTGGTATTTACGAAATTTTGTAAATATTAACGAATTTTTAGAATATTTTTTGTATTTTTTAAGAATAATATTAAAATAATATTAAAAATATTTTAAAATGGAAAATTAACCAAAAAATGGCCCAAATGTTGACCAAACACAGCCACGAGACAGCTCGTCCGGCTGTGTCGTCTAGGAAGAGTTTTCCCTGGTCACGAACAGCCTTGGGTGCCCCGCAGGCTGAGAGGCGAGGAGGAGGGATTGGCGGCATCGTAAACAAACGAAACACCAGCACCTGGATCTCATGCCAGAAATACGCGTGGTCGAGCCCACAAGATAACTTCCCCAAGCTGGGCGCCACGGAGCAGCAGAGGGGCGGGGAGGAGGCTCCTGCCAAAGAGGGCCTCAGCCGTGGCAGCTTCTCCCT